ACTAGGTCACCACTCTCAGGGTGTTGCTCTGCTTCTTACTTGGTCTTATCAGTTCAACTGTGCCTTCCCTTCGCTCCTGCTCCTGCAATATGAGTTCTGTGCAACATGAGTATTGTGCAAAATCTGGCAGGACAAAGCAAGATTCATCCTGATTGCCCCCTTCTGGCCAGACAGTTCTGGTTTCCTAACCTCCTATGCATGTCATCACGACCACCAATCATTCTTCTAACGTTCCCCAAGCTCCTGACCCAGTGGAATGGCAAGATCAGGCACCCCGATCCACATCCACTCCACTTCTCAGGGCTTGGTATTTGGGTGGGCATCATCCTTAGAACATTCATGCTCCAAAGTTGTATGAGACATTCTCTCTAATAGTAGAAAGGACTCTACTAGAAAATGTTACCTAGCTAAATGGAAGTGCTTCTCTTTTTGGGCACAACAAGGAGGTGTTCTCCCAGAGATTACAGATATTCCTCTCATCTTGGACTATATCCTATTTCTGAAAACACCAGGTTTGTCTATCAGCTCCTTGCGAGTCCACTTCATGGCGATCAGCACATACCATCTACATTCTCACGGCTACTCTGTCTTCACACATCCACTGATCAACAGATTCTGTAAAGGCCTAATAAGAACCTTCCCACCTACTCAGAACCCTGTTCCCCTGTGAGCCCTGAACCTTATTCTCTCAGTACTCACAAGACCCCCTCCTTCCTTTCAGCCTTTAGCTACTTGCTCCATGTCTCTCATTTCAGCGAAGGTCACTTCTCTTGTAGCCATTACCTCAGTGAGAAGGGTTGGTGAAATTGAAGTGCCGTCATATCTTCTATACACTATATTCCATAAGGATTAGGTTTCTTTATGTCTACACCCCAAATTCACCCCAAAGTAGTTTTGGAATTTCATCTTAACCCAGTCCATTCACTTTCCTGTGTTCTTCCCAAAATCACACACTTCCACAGAGGAACGAAGACTCCACTCTCTTGATGTTCAGTGAGCCTTGGGTTTCTACCTACAGAAAACAAATCCCTGAGACTGTTTGTTGCTATAACAGAAAGAGTCAGAGGGCACGTCATCTCCATCCAGAGAATCTCCAAATGGATCTCTAGCTGCATTCTCCTCTGCTGTCAGCTTTCAAATCACACCCTGCAGTTCCCACAATGAGGTAAGAGCTCATTCCACTAGAGTGAAGCAACAATTATGGCATCTTGTCAGGAGGTACCCCTCCTGGACATATGTAAAGTGGCCATGTGAGGCTTCATTCACATATTTGCAAGACATTATGCTCTAGTGCAGGACTCTTTTGCTGATGCCTTTTTGGGACGGTGGTACTCCACTCAGCCCTACTGCCTATATCCTCACACCCTTCTCCTACTTAGGTATTGCTTGCCAATCACTAATAGTGGAATACAATATGGACCATCACTCGAAGAAGAGGTGGTTACTTATCTGTAACTGGAGGTACTTTGAAATGTGTGGTCCCAATCTATATTCCACTACCTGCCCTCCTTCCCCTCTGCTTCGAATCTTATCAAGTAGTTGGTCCATCCCACCCTTTATCCCCTCGTTCAGAGGCATGAGGTGAGCCAGAGTTCAGGCATGGACCAACAGACACTATTTTCAAATTCTCCGGCTCTGGGCACACAGTGCACATGTGTAACCCCACAGTGAAATACAGATAGGGACCACATATCACAAAGAACCTCCAGTTACAGATAAGTAACCTCCTCTTAGTGTTTGGGTAAACACAACAGTTCCTGATAGTTATGCTAGCAGGAAAGGGGTTTTTTACCTCTAAATATGGGGCCTCACTGTTGATTTTTGCTATTTATTAATAGAAGTAACTTGTATTCATGGACTCCTGCACAGCTTGGGCTGAGAAGGCTTTGACCTTTCTTCTATTATGTTAACTCACGCATGCGTGCATTCTCTCTCTCTCTTTTCACATACCCTCCCCTCCACCTGTTCTATGTATGAGTGCAAATTCAGTCTCTCACTTTCCAGTTCCTTGCTTTTTTTTTCTCTCCACTATAAAAGTAGAAAAAGTAGCTGGGGTATTATTGATTTATATTACAATGGCCACTTGATCACCATATTTGAGGACAGGAAGGAATTTTCCCCCCCGGTCAGATTGGCAGACACCCTGGAGGTTTTTTCACCTTCCTCTGCAGCATGAGTCATGGGTCACTTGCAGGTTTAAACTAATGTAAATGGTGGATTCTCTGTAACTTGAAGTCTTTAAACCATGATTTGAGGACTTCAATAATTCAGCCAGAGGTTACAGGTCTATTACAGGGTGGGTTAAGTTCTGTGGCCTGCAATGGGCAGGAGGTCAGACTAGATGATCACAATGGTCCCTTCTGACCTTAAAATCTATGAGTCTATGAGCTAGTCATGATCAGGGCCCATTGTGCTAGATGCTATGGTACAAGCTTTCAGGGTTTACTGCAGAACACTCAGTCTTCCCAAGCAATCCCACAGTATGCAGCATATTCAGTACTTTCAGAGTGTCAAACCAACAGGGCATTTGAAGACCATACAAAAATTTCCAGGGACACTACTTTTCCTGCAAATCCATTAACCGAACTGTATTTAGAGGGGTTCTGAGGTTGCTCTACCTGGGTTTGGAGAGAGTTCAATTTAAAACTGTTATACTGTTAAACTATATTTAAATTAACCCTTTTAGAAATCAGAGTGGACAAGACATTAAATTATTCACTGTTTAGCGGCCCATAAACAGGGTTAGAAATAACTAGTATTGTTTTTCAGTTAGTGATCCATTTAATTCTGTGAAGACACAGTTTACATTTTAGAAATATGTTTGATTCAACACCCAATATCTGGTAACATGACTGAATACCTTCTACAGATTCCTACACTGCTGCTTCCACTGATAGACTGACTTGAGTCTTCAAGAATCTTCTTGTGTCCTCTGTAGCTTCTGGCGGGAGAATCCATGGCCTGTCATTACTTAGTAACTGCAGCAATGTGAGAAATCTGAGCATGGTGATGGAGATGTTCAAAAATAGGAGTTTTTAAGTAAACATGGCCTGAGGAACTTTTCCATTGAGTACTTCAAGGGTTCATTTTGAAAACACACTCTTTTTGGTTATACAATATTGCCATTCGCAGCTAGAACAGTACAACCACATTTACAAAGAGTGTGGTGGTGTTTCTATGTATTATTTTAATGCATTGAACTATGTTTCTGTCAAGGCTGATTCCCCACTCTGGCACTTCGAGTGCAGAAGGTGAGGGCCCGCAAGGATTTTAAAAATTAATACTTGCCACTCCAGGCTTGTATTAAACTCCCAAGGTTACAGCTTTTCTCTGACCTTGGCTTGGTAAACGCTGCCACCACCCAAATGCAAACCCCTTTTTCAGATCCCAGGAAGGCGCACTTGGGAATTCCTTCCTGTGGGGTACCCTCAAGTCCTTTCACCCCCATCTCTCCCTCCGGGGAAGAGCTGAGAAAGAAAACAAAGGAAATTAGCTGTTGCCACCAGCTAATTTAACAACATGTGCACAAACCTCTTAGGACACCAAAAATCTAATCCTGTTTTTAAAAAAGGTAAATTTTATTAAAAACAAAAAGAAAATACATCTGGAACTTAGGTTTTTGCTAGATTTTAAAAGAGCAATTCTAAAAATTAAGCACCCAAAATAGCTTTCTTGGGGGTCCAGCTTAAAGGTTACAAACAAACAAACAAACAAGCATCTGGGGTTAGCACAGAGGAGTCCACAGAAAATAAAAGAAATAAATCTAATTGCATCTTTCTAGACATTTCCTAATCTACTGACATATTTGGGTAGTTCTAAGTATAATCGGATGATTCCCATACCTGGCAAAAAGCTTTATACAGCATAGTCATAGCCCTGACTTTGCTCTGTTCCCCTCTCTCTGGAGAACAACACAGAACACAAAGGGAAAGCTTTTTTCACAATTTTAAAAAGTTCTAGCCTTCCCATTGGCTCTTTTGGTCAGGTGCCCACTCCCTTTTCTTTACCTGGGGGACTTTTTAACCCTTTACAGGTAAAGCAAGCAGCCACCAAGAGGGACTTTATAGCTAGCTGGCTGGCAAGGGAGCTTCCTCCCCCCACCCCCGACCCCGCTTCATTTATCACAGTTGCCCTTCCCCCAAGATCAAGGGGCAATATATTGAGGCAGGGAAAGGGGGGGTGTAGTTCCAGGTGCTCTTCTTCTTTTTTTTTCTTTTTCCTAGATCTGAGATTTGCCCCCAACAGCAGCTGTTAAATCCCAGTGTAATGCCACTGTAGTCACATTTGGAGGCCTGCAGCCTGTTTCAGATCTTGGTGAACATAAAAGCCAGTTTAAAACCCCCAGTGGATACAGTGTGGGAAGTCACTGTGCTAGCTCATCCTATATTTCATTCATGACCTGCAGCCCTCCTACTATTCTAGTGTTTTGCCTCTGTAAAGTAAAAGATTGTCAGTAATGCCAAGTTACGTGACAGTTTTGAGCCATGAGACCACCAAATTTATGTCCATTTACAACTTAAAATAGAATTCAAATCCAAGCCTCAATTGGTAAAATGCTAATATGTTAACATATACCAGTTAGCCCTCAGTGCTTATAGATCTGTTAAACTCTAATAATTAAAAGTTTACACTTCAGTAATAAGGATAGCATTAAATTGTTATTAATAGCATATATTTCAATATGCAGATTAAGACATGTAAAATGTTAGCATTTACGAATTAAATTAATTTAATAGAACATAATTAAATGTAAAGCTAATGGCTACTCAGTTTGCCTAAGAAGCGGAAATTTGCAGAGCGAGTGCATTCTTACATTCCTATCAAAACTGTAACAGACTTTGAGAGTTCCATAAAATATCCCATTAAAATAAAGCATAGCCGAAGGCTATATTTTCCTGGTGGACAATAAAATACCCAAAAGCACGCACAAACTGGTCATATGACAGCACGTGCTTTATGTAGTTATATTGCTAAACTCTTCTTTTCCTTTTCTCCCACAGCCACTGGTTTAGCCCTGGGGCTAGGAAGGAACATAGCCAGGTAAGAACCACTTTGATCAAGAACAGTTTACTTCATATATTTGAAGGAATTTAACTATCTCTACTCCAAAACTATTGGGTCAGTATTTTAATACATAAGAAGCAAAGCGGCCTTAATTCCATGTTTCCTTGCAAGCTACTTAAAAAACTTAGCAGCTAAGTATTTCAAAAGGTCTTTTGGTTAATAAGCTAGCATGCCAAATGATACTAGATAAGCATCACAGGTCAGTTTTATTACCAGTTTAAGATTTCAGAATATATTATCCTGATAACCAGTTTGTTATTAACAATAGTGCCTGTGTTTCTCTGAAACTGTCGTCTTAATGCTTCTATAAAATGGGGAACACCTGACATTTTCCACAGTATTTAAGAAATTCAAAACTGTGTAAGAGCAGACTTGTAGGATGAAATCCACACCCCACTCTTCTCTGTTACTCTAGGTAAAAGGGTCAGATGGGTATAAAGGGGGTGTTAAATCCTGCCAGGTGAGGATTCTCCTGGTGCATAACCTGCAGAAGGCAGACATAAGCTCATGAGCTTCAATGTAGGGGGCATGCTGGGGATGTGTGGAGGCAGGGCCGCAACGACTGCGGGGATTCCAGACAGTGTTATGACCAGCTGAGTAGCCCAGAGTGTCTGCTGTAATTTAGACAGGAGTGCAGGGCTGTCCAAATTTTATCAGGGGAGTAGCCCCAGCTCAGGATGGCACAGAGATAGCTTAAAGCAATCATAGCCCTCCTGTTCCCCTGGAAACTGCACAGAATCTCACAAGTTGTATGTTGATTACCTCATACTTAAGATCATCGAATTTAACAAGAAAACACTTACATTTGAATAGTGGAGTGTTGCTTAACTGATGACCTTCCTTTCAGACTTTGAAAAATGCTTAGTTATATGCATGGCAAAGCAATAAGTTATTGACAGAACAAGAACTTTGTGTAAATAAGCCTTTCCCTTTTGTATCTTGAACAAATTAGTTCTTTTCAAACACTCAGGAAAAGTAACTGAATACATCAGTAGTACATCAAGCCTCTAGAGTAACTCATTGGGTCATATCTTAAGCTGCAGCAAATTGATGTAGCTCAATTGATTTCAGTGGATCTATGCTGATTTACACCAACTAAGTTCTAGCAAATAGATTTTAAGCATCATAGAAAGCAATAAGTAACGCAGTAAGATACAAGAAAATTCATCATGTTTTTAGGGCCATTCTGAACTCCACTAGCTTTGATAGCTCAGAGTTAAATCAGCATATCTGCTTTTCTTCCCCTTCTTTCAAACTCAAAAACAGACTCAGTCTCTCAACTAAACATACTTCCTCAAGCCTGACAGCGTGAAAAAAAAAATGAATTTCAGTTTTAGCTGTAAATTGTGAAAGTATTATAATACATATTATGATATGCTGGCTGACATTTAACAGCTACACAGACAACTTTATATGATATTTACCTCACATCATTTTGAAACTTTTATTTCTTGTGGAAGAAACACACTAGCATTTTAACAGCTGGCTTTATGTTGTCAGATTTACGGATTGTAACAAGTAACACATAGTGAGTTGCAGTTTAAACTTAAAGAATTCATTTGTTATCCTTAATGTCTCAAATTACTTGATAATTAACTTAACTTGTACCTTTAGTACTACTTTTGAAGGTTCTGAAATGCAGACTAGCCATGCAGGTGTCCATGCTAAGTGGTGTCCCAGCATCCGTTATGCTGGTGATATCTCATCCAGCATGAAACCTGCAATGTGAATAACGCCTGTAATGGTAAATAAATAAATATTTTATTTAAAAAATACCTGATTTTATAATTTTTAAAATAATTTCACCTTATGGGTTGTAAAATTATTATGAAAGCTTTTGTACTTTTGGCGATGGCATTGGGGGTCTAGTAAATTAATAAGTTTTCAGACTGTAGCTGAATCATATAGTGAATGTAACGTCATCACATGAAACAGAAACTAGTGATCTGTGATGGGTCTACACTTCAGAACCTGTAAAAGAAGGGAGGAAAATGAGTTTAACACTAATAAAAATTGACCCTCGCAGCATCTTAAAGAAATTTTCCTATGGAAGGCCAGGTTGTATAACTATAGATATTACCTGTTATGGTATAATAATATTCTGTTTAATTATTTATTTTTTGAAGTAAACACTATTAAATTAGAGCTTATGTGATTAGCTAGTAAAGATAGAAGTATGTAGTGGGTAAACTATTCAACAACAAAAACTGGTTATTTGAAGCACTTGCCCATCTCTGCATTGGTACTGTGAAGTCCCCAAGTGTGTCCCCCAAATTTTTTTCTGACTGCCTTCAGTGAAGTGCTGCCTTAGGTCTCTATGGCCATTTGTGTAGCTGAATCTTCAGTTCAGTTCGGCTCAGCACTTTGTTGAAGGCTTGGTTCCCTTCAAAATATGATTTTAGTTTATTTTGCTATTAGTTTGCACTTCTGTGTAATTATTTTGCAGCTATTTCTAAATGTGTCATTTCCACATCACCCTAACATTGAGGAGAATCATATCAGCTGGAGATTTTGAATAATGAAGTAGTTTATTTTGGAAAAGTCTTCACATTGTATTTATTTGGGAGAAATTTCCAAAATAGGTTGGTCTAGAACCTACATTATTTTAGACACCAGTGCTAGCTAATAGCTAAAAGTGTTAGGAAGATTGGGTATTTAGCTTTTGTTGTTGCTCTGAAAATTTCAACTTTTTGGGTCTCAGCAGAGTTTATAAATATTGCTTAACTGTTTAGATACCAGTGGTAATCTGAAAAGTTTTTTAAAGGGAGCTTCTCTATCCCTTTTCATAATAAAGAGAGTTTTGAAGGTGAAAGTTATTGATTAATGATTCTTAAAAATCAAATCAAAATCAAATTGCTTTCAAATGTTTCACAGTCCAGAGTCAGGGTAATATTTGTGGAACTCTGAAATTCTTTACTTTCAAATGTTTTTTCTATACCTACAAAGTTCTAATAATGTTGGGTTTAAAATTAATGGATATGTAATTCTAACCTTAACTCTACATGTGTTTTCACAAAATTGTATTAAAATGCTGTAATGACTGACGATGAATTTATCAAGAATGCACGAAGTCCCCAACTTTTAACATTTCTAATGGTCTTTCCATAGGTGACACTGTTAAAATCCAATATATAATACCTAATTTACTGTTAAAAAATAAAAACACAAAAGATGACAAAGCTAGGATAACATTTTTTAAAAATAAAAAATGGCTTTGTTTCCAACACGATTGTGAATGTTTTTTGTGTAGCTTCAGCTCCTGCGGGATAACCGATCTGAGAGAGGACACAAGAAAAATATTTCAGTAAAAACAGCTAGCAGGTAAGATAAAGGTGAAAATATACTTTAAAATCACTAACTTAATTATCACTTCCTGTCTCCCAAAATTTTATGTAGTGATTGACTCCATCCTTGATGGGCTTTTTTTTCGATCTGTAACTTCATTTTTATAGCCTCTTCTTTGTAATTTTAATCTTTTGTTAACGTTTGTATATTGGATTGGATTGATAATTGTATCAAAGTAACTTATTTACTCTGATTATAATCATTTTATTAATCAGCTAGATAAAATGGGTGACCAAGTAGGTTTCCTGACTTTGCAGTATAACTCTAAGGGTCAAGCAACTACTGTGTTACCTTTTATATACTGTATACATTTTTTTAATAATACAGGTCATTGAAAATAGCTTAACGTTTGTGCAATCTTGTAGCATGGTTAGAAATGTTATTTTCCTGTTTAAAAAAACCAAAAACACCCGATTAGCAAACTTTATGAAAACAAATCTTGTCACTGGCCAAAAAAAAAAAAAAAAAAATGTCAAGCATTGCAGTAATAAACAGTGACAAAAAATCATAATCAAATCTCCCAGGTACGTGACTGTTCATAGATCTTTTATATGTTTGAAATTTATAGTACATAATCCCCCCACTCCCCAATATTCACTGTAACAGAATTGGTTTATAGAACAGAAAATTACATAAATGTTTTCTTTGCTGTATTCAAGACCTATTATTTACACAGAACTTTTATTTTAATTTGTAGTGGTATTATTTGGGATGACAAATAAGTTCTTTTGAAAAGGCAATAACACAATAATAATAAGTTGAAGACTTGGGTAATATCCCACTTTTAAGGGAGAATAGGCACGTGGTCTTCAACTTTCTGCCTCACAGTATGTCCAGGATCTTTAGTTATTTGGATATAGCCATTTTTTTTCATGTTAGTAAATAGTGGATGTTATTAATAGCCGGAGTCTGAGACCAAATATTCACTTTGATCATACGAGTATTAAATATGAAAATACTTAATTTTAATTGTGTGCAAGCTCAGATGACATCTTCCAAATGGTTGGTTCCACCAGTAAAGCAGAATCTGTTATACATCATCTTCACACAATTTATAAGACTCTTTCATCTGTTAAATGTCTTCCAAGGTAAACAAATATTATTTTAAAGATGTTTGAAAGCAATTTCCTGGTAAGCATAGTTCGGAAATCATATTTATGCTTAGAACAACAGTATATAAAGAACATTGTCTTCCGTTGAGCTGAATTCTCTCCATAAATGCATATTTAGGGCCTGATTCTCATTTCCCTGCCACCATCCAAAATCTTAACAATTTAATATTTTACCTTTATAAAAGTTGTTATAACAAATGGAAGAACTATATATGTGAAAAGCAAGCATGTATACCACATTGCAAACACACACTAACTTATCCTTATCGATGAAATCCATTGGGTTAAGTTACCAGTATAAATAGAGTGGGTAGGATTTCCAGCATGGCAGTACAGTCAGCTCCTACAGCTTGACATAGTTTTAAGTTGCCATTCCCTCCGGAAGGGAGGTCACCACCTTGCTGCTGCATTTAAAATTCCCGACTTCACCCATCTGTGTGGAGAGACATTTCTTTCCTTTCAAGCTTATGAAAAAAAAATTGGTTCAGATGAAGCTGATATTATGCACAAAGTTAATGAGAGGGCAAGTTCCGAATTGTACCTTTCTTGTAAATGTGAAGTCTCATTCCTGTGTATGGAATCTTGAAATGGATCTTTCAGATCTTTACAAATGTGGCCAGATCCTTTTAAAAGCTGTAAATTAGCAAAGCTCTATTGAAACCAATGGAACTTGACGAATTTACACCAGCAAAGGTTTTGGTCCACTCTTTAGCATAATCATAAAACAACTCTAAGTAAAGCTATTGTATTTGAGGTTACTATATGCATATGCAGCTAAATCTTTTGTTGAATACAAGTGTTCGTTCTCACTTGAAAGTCTCAAGCACTCTAAGATTGTTTTGCACATTTTCAGTGATTCCATTTGACATGTAAGGATATTATAATTCAGATGATTAATCTCCTTTTAAAGAAAGCTCACAACAAATTATAACTATGACCAATAGAAATGTCTTGTCTTGCGGTTTATTGCTAAATACAATAATAGAAAATCAACAGATGGTAAACATTTGAGGGTTTATAAAATTGTTATTACCTAGCACTCTTTAGACTTTTAAGCTGCTAGCCAATGCATGTATGTTGGGCATAGTATATGCCACATTAATGGGTATTATGTGCACAGTATTACTATTATATATAAATATAAAAAATTGGAAAGTTATGTTAACTAAATGTATTATACTCTCCCTACAATTCTGTTCACCCATGTCAAGTATCCCACAATGCTTTGTAAAGCTCAAATCAGCTTTGGCATTAGAAAATAGGAAGCCTGTCAAAGCCAAGATACATGATTGATGTTTCTTAGCACAGGTTGGGATGTACCTCTGGGCCTAACTGGTTTGGACTGTAGTATCCAAAACAGATATTAGAAAAGTACAGAACAAAACAACAAGTTAAGGAAATGTTACAAACTGGTGGGTTGGATTTTAGTGACTCCTAAAAAGTTTTGTAACTTGTAAAATCGTGCTATAAATACTACTAGCTATAAATACAACTATACTACTATATTACTATAAATGCAACTTCTGTGTAAGATAAGAATTGTTTCCTGGAAGGAAGATATGCCTGTCTCGTTTTCATATTTTACTGTGGCTAAGCTTGGTTATTTGGTCTCTTAAACATTTTTAAGAACGAACCACAAGTGTAACCAAACTATTGCCTACGCCTTTTAATCATTAAAGCTATATCTGTTCTTCTTATTGCAAGTCTGGAGTTGCAAAATGTATTTCTTTGTGTAGTTTCCACACTGGCTTATTTCTAGTCATGTGAATATTTTTTTTTTTATTGGTGTTCTGAAAGACATTTTCTCTTAATACTTTTTTATGTTTGCCTTGACTTTTCTTACACCTTCTGGATGAGTGACCACAGTTCTTGTCTCAGCATGTGGAAAAAAGTAAAGATTAGAGACCTACATTGCACTAGATCAATGAATTGTGGAATAATTTACTCCAGAACTGTATGAGGAAAGTAAGAAGGGATAAGCACTCAATCGGTCTATTACGGTCTTTTTTTCTGTGCAGTAGTGTTGATACTTTCTGGAGGAGCTTAAGTATATTGGGTTGCTCATAATAGAGATAACAAACATTAAAATTTAAAAATGAAGATGAGTTTCAACCCGATGTACATTAAATATAGCCTCAAAGCAAGACTGGGACTGTTCAGTTTAAGAAAGAGACAGCTAAGGGGAATATGGTAGGATCTATAAAATCATGAATGGTATGGAGAAAGTGAATAGGGAAGTGTTATTTACCCCTTCACATAACACAAGAACTAGGGGTCACTTGATGAAATTAATAGGCAGCAGTTAAAACAAACAAAAGAAAGTACTTTTTCACACAACACATAGTCAACCTGTGGAACTTGTTGCCAAACGATGTTGTGAATGCCTGTATATAACTCAAAAAAAAGTTAGATAAGTTTTTGGAGGATAGGTCCATCAATAGCTATTAGGCAAAATGATCATGGACCAAGCAAGCGGTTGCATGCTTCAGGTGTCCCTAAATTCCTGACTCTCAGAAGCTGGGATTTGACAACAAGGGATGGATCACTCGATAATTGCCCTGTTGTGTCCATTCCTTCTGAAGCACTATCAGAAGACAGGATTCTGGGCTAGATTAATAATTTGTATGACGCAATGTTGCTGTTCTTATTGACAGATTACCAAATTTAAGATCTCCTTTTTTTGTTTTTTTGTCTTACATAGTCCTAGAAGAGTTAGTCTATGCTGTAATCTATTGATTAGGAAAACAAAATTACAGACAGCCAAAGTACTTAAACTTCTAGAATAATTTTCATTATTTATAATGGTCTTCATTATTTTTTAAAGTATCTGCACATAAAGTGCAATAATTATTCAATCAGGTTTTTTTCTTCTGGCTCATAGTATTATAAATGGGATTTATGGTATGTACATGTATTGAGAGGCTGAAGGAAAAAACAAGACAAGATTTGCTGCCACTTTTCCAGATATGATAAAATAACTTGATCATTCATCACTGGTTCCCAGAGATTGTGTGAACTCTGTATTTTTAAGAACAAAACACATTTCCTGGCCCTCAGTTCTTTTCCCTCACTAATGTAGAAGTGCTGACATCCGTACCTCCTGAGGGGGGAAAAAAAAAGGGACAAGCACTCAGGGGCCTGAGTCTATCTGTTGTTCCTCTTTTCTGGGAAATCTGCTGTTCCTGAAGGCCACAGGAAACAGCACAGCCTGAAACAGGTCTCTTCACATCCCTAAAAGAGGGAAGCCTGTTAAGGATGGAAGCTGGGGAAATGTGGGGAAAGAGACATGGTGGATAGTATGAAAGAAAAATGTCACATAATGATACATGATAAATGTTAATAAGAATATTGAGCATACATTTTCCAGATTTTCTGTAACCCACCAACCCTTTCAAATCTCAGTCCTGTCCAGACTTCTAAATATTTTGGATAGGTTGGAAAAAATAATGCATCATCTACATTATATTTTTGTGATTTTATTTTATTTTGGAATTCTGTGTAAATTAATAATGAAATTGAGGGTTCTAAATTGAGAAAATTTACACAAAATGTGATCAGAGATTTGAAAAGCATATTTTTGCTTGAGATGTAGAAATATTGAGTTCAGCCTCCTTTCCATCAGGTCAGAAAGAAAATCCCCATTTACATTTGAACAGAACTCATTCAGTTTCATCTGATGATACAGATCACTGTATTTTGTTACACAGATGTGACAAATAGAATTACAGCTGCTCTTTATTTGATCTTCTAAAGAGACAAAGATGTGCAAGGATGCTGTCTGCTCCCTTTTTCCCACCATGTCATCTGTTGTTTGGGAAGGAGTCCTAATTTGCAGCAGATACAAAACTATTTGTCGTGTTGCAG